ACACACACACACACACACACACACAATTCTCTTTATTTTTTTAAAACTAAGAAGATTTTAAATTTGTGTGTGAGTGGGCATGTGTGCATGGAGGTCGCAGGTCAGAGGTCGACATCAGTTGTCTTCAGTTACTTCCCTGCCTATTTTTGGAGACAGGTGTCTCACTGATCCCGAAGGTCAGAGATTCAGCTAGACTTGCTGGCCAGAAAGCCACAGGAAGGTTTCTGTCAGAGGTAGAGTGACAAATGTGCACTGCTGCACACAACTTTTACATGGGTGCTGGAGAACCAAACCCAGGGCTTTGTGCTTGCATAGCAGGCATGTTACCATGAGCCGCTTACCAGCACCCATACCCCAACTCTGGAGAAGAAATTAAGGCTCAATGGGGATATGCTGAAGGAAGACATTTAGTGAAGGACAGAGCAAAGCCTCAAGCTAAGAGAAAAGAGTCAGTGTGCTTCCTGAAGTTGGACTTATTGGGGTTATTTCCTGCCTTCAAAACTTACTTATGTGTTTCCCTTCAATTCTCTTTTTTTTTTTGGTCTTTTTGAGACAGGGTCTCCCCATAGCACCAGCTGTCCTGGAACTCACTATGTAGACCAGGCTGGTCTTGAACTCACAGAAATCCGCCTGCCTCTGCCTCCCGTGTGCTGGGATTAAAAGTGTGCACCACCACACCTGGCTATCCCTTCAACTCTTTTAAAAGTGGAATAATAATAACTGTTCTACTTTTCAAGGCTGTGGAAAGAGATACAGGGAGAGGCATAGATTTAAAACATATATTCCCTTGCAATTAAAAGCTCCAAATAGTTACATATTGGTATCCTTAAAAGAAATAACAGCAGCTTTGGACTCAGACCATAGAGATTATTTAGAATTATTCTGTAAAGGATTAAGATTTTCTATGAAAATTCAGGTATTATGAGTTGATTGATAACTACAGGCAAAGATATTGAGTTCCAGAAAAATGATGAGTAGTGTGTCCCAGAGAAAGGGAAAGAGTAAACACATACACACACACATACACACTCACATGCAGAAACACATGTAAAGACACACACATGCACATATAGACACACACATAGGTACACAAACGCACACACACATACATGCACAAACACACATTCAAGTACACGTAAAGACACACACATGCATACACACATTCACAACAGGCATACACACACACATACACACACACACACACACACACACATATACATACACACACACTTTTAGCTCAGTGGCCCAGATTCCAAAAGTCTTAATTAATGACTCAAGTTTTTTATTACTGTTATTTGCACTTGCATAACAGTAAATCCTGCCGCAAACATAGAACTTGGTTTACATACAGGAAACTGGGGTCTGGCAGAGATGAAACAGGAGAAAAATGGACAGCCTTAAAGGAAGCCAGCTTTATATCCAAATCCAACTGCTTTGCATTGGCAACGGCTTTGGAAACAGCATGCAACTCACTTTGCAGCCCTGGATAAAGATAGACATAAAAATACAGACATTTTATTTGAGCCGACAAAAGGACCATTTTTTCTGCAACATTTTTATACTGAGTGCCATCAATGCTACCAGTTTGCTATTCTAGCCATATCTTAACCACTACATAGTGAGTATGTATTACTACAGATATCTCTAGCGGACCTTCAAATACACATCATGTTGTGATCACTGGCCACGCTCTTTCAAGGAAGTTTGTGTTGGAAATATCTCAAGGCAATTTGGAATTTCTTACAGGAATTTTTGTTTGTTTTTTTGATGGCTCAGATGATTTTGAACTCCTTGAGGGGACAATGTTTTATAACACTAAAAGCCAATGATCAACTACTTCAGTATGAGTTTAGATTTGTTTAGTGTGGGAGGGTATGATGGTTAGGTTTAATTGTCAACTTGATACAAGCTTAGATCACATGGAAGAGAGTCTCAATATGGGACTGTCTACCTTGGGCTGGCCTGTGGGTATGACTGGGGTGGACTGTCTTACCTAAGTTTACTGATGTGGGGAGAACTAACCCACTGTGGATGGCACCAGTGTCTAGGCAGGAGGTCCTGGACTGTCTGAGTGGAGAAGTGAAGCAGAACACAAGCAAGCAGGCGAGCATGCATGTAATCATTTCTCTGTTTTTGACCACATGTATGTGATGTGACCGGCTGTTTGAATTTCTTTGTATTCCCCACAATGTTGGGCTGTGACCTGGAATTGTAAGCTGAAATAGACTCCTTTCTCCCTTAAGTTGCTTTTTGTGAGGATATTTTATCATAGCAACATAATGCAATTACAAAATAAGAAGCTTTCTCTTCCTCCATTTCTCAAATGTCTTTTATGGTATTCCAGGTGTAACCTCAAGGTTGGTGAGAGTTATCCCACACTTAACTCCCCCAGATTCCCACTCATTTATGAGAGCTATACTGTATTATTTATATCTCTTTTTTCAGTACTTGTTGTATATAAAGCAGATTCTGGGATCTGCCTCCCAGTATATACAGAAAGGTCATGGTCTCTGTTCTTAAGAGCTGATAGTACTGCTTTCCTCTCCACTTCTCCAAGTCCCATTTATTCTGTCCTTTTCCAGTCTGACTCCTGATGGACAGAACCCTCTGACCTTGGCTTTTCCTCTCTCTAGCTCATTATTGTAAGCATGCTATACTTCTACTATTTCCTCCCCATTTATGAGCTACTTCTCGGCATGGCCTCAAGACCATGCCTGAATGGGAAGGCATATTGAATACAGTGTGATGGCTGGGCCTTAACTCCTCCCCCAGGGAGCTAAGCATCAGAAATGATAAGCAGGTTTTCAAGTTAATGCTATTAAAATTACAGCTGCTACAGCCAGCACTCATAAAATCAAATTACAGCTAAGTAATTAAAAGGATTTTATTATTTTTGAAACAGGGTTTTATTGCATAGGTAGCCCACGTGGCTTAGGCTGGCTTTAAACTTGGAATCCTTCTGCTTCTGCACCCCCCCACCAGGCCCTGGAATTATAGGTGTGTGCTCCCATACCCACCATTGAAAAGATTTTCTATGAGGGAAAAATAAACAATACCAATCAAAGGTACTCTTACAACACTCTAATACAGAAAGAGTAAATATATAAAACTTAAATATATGTGTGTGTGTGTGTGTGTGTGTGTGTGTGTGTGTATGTGTGTGCCTATCTCTATTTAGCTCCGTGGTGGTTTGAATGAGAATGTCCCTCATAGGTTCCAAGTATTGGGACATTTTTGCCCCCAGTTGGTGGCACTGTTTTGGAAAGTTTTAGGAGGTGAGGCCTTGCTGGTGGAAGCATATTACTGGGGGTGGGCTTTCAGAGTTCCTACGCCTTGTCAGATTTTCAGATGGTCTCTCTGCTTCCTGTGCCTGACTGAAGATGTGAGTGCTTGCCTCTCTGCTCTGGCCACCTCCTGCTGCTAGGCCTCCCTGCCATGGCTCCTAAACCTCTGGAACTCTTCCTTCTAGAAGTTGCTTTGGTCATGGTGTTATATCATAGCAACAAGAAAGTAACTAATACGAGTTCATATTTAAAAATATATATATGTGTTTGTCTACATGTATATATGTGCATCTGTATGCAGGTGCCTGAGGAAGCCAAAAGAAGGTGTTAGACCCCCTGAAGCTGGAGTTGCAGATAGTTTTGAGCCATCCAACATGGGTGTTGAGAACTGAATTCTCCTCCTCTGGAAGAGCTCTTAAGCACTTGAACCATCTCTCCAGTCCCTGTGAAACACCTTTCTATATCTTTCTGATGTACATGATAAAAAAAAGGAAAAACTGAATGTATAATGTATGTCTTAAACTTGACCTCACCTTGTATTTGAAAAACTTGGTCCCAGTTAATGACATCACGTTCTTCCAACAGCTGTTGGTAAGCTCTGACATCTTTGTAGAACACAGCATAGGCATTAGTATAATGGTCAAGGTTATCTGTCTCAGCCTAGGACAGAAGACACAGAAAATACAACATAATCATATCTTCTGGATAACCCATGTCATTTTTATTTATTATAATTATTCATTTTTTATGTATATGAATGTATTGCTTGCATGTGTGTAAGTGCACGCATGTAATGCAATACCCGAGGAGGTCGGAAGAAGGCGTCAGATACCCTGGAACTAGAGTTATATACAGATGGCTGTTAGCTGCCATGTGGATGCTGGGAATCGAACCCGGGTCCTCTGCAAGAGCAGTCAGTGCCCTCAACTGCTGAATCATCTCTCCAGCCCATAGCTCATGTCTTACAAAGATTAGTTATCATTGCCTGTCTAGCTAGCTTTCAATTACCCAAAGTAGCTACCTAGACATAAAGAAATAATAATGAAGCTAACATATCATAGTGAGAAAAAGAAATATTTTGTGATTTTTCTTCTCCTGATTCTTTACTACAGAACCAGGAAAATTTTAAAGAAATTTTGTATTTTTCTAGGATTTAATTTATTTATAAAAATGGGTCAACCACAGTGGCATGTAACTGCAGTCTCAGCTGAGAGGCTGTGGGGAGGCTGATGCAGAAGGATTGCTCGAGTCTAAGAGAGGCCAGCCTGGTAATGTAGTAAGATACCATCTCAAAAATAGAGAGGTTTGCTGGGAATGGAGCTCAGTAGTTGAGCATCTACCTGGCATATGTGAGACTTTAATGTTTCAGTTTTCTTTCTGTCGCAGTGATAAAACACTGACCAAAAGCAATTTAGAGGAGGAAAAGGTTTATTTAGCTTACACTTCCAGGTTACAAGCTGTCACTGAGGGAAGTGAGAGCAGGAAGTGAGCAGAAATGGAGGAATGCTACCTACTGGCTCACCCTTAGACTCATGCTCAGCTAGCTTCCTTATGCAGCCCAGCCCACCTGCCTAGGGCTGGTACTGCCAAGGGTAGGCAGGGCCCTCCTACATCAATCATTGATCAAGACATGCCCAGAGGCCAAACTGATCTGGGCAATGTCTCAATTGAGACTCCCTCAAATGACTCTAGGTTGTGGCAAACTGATTGCTGAAGTTAACTAGGACACCTGGTTTTAACCCCCAGCTCCAGAAAAATAAACAAGTAAATTAAATACAGAGGTGAAACTCAGAGAGTAGAACTTGTAGAATTAGAGCCTCTCACAATCGTCCTAATGTAGAGAGCAGCACATCTTGGATCACCCGAGCTTCTCTTGGCCTCAGCGGCAGACTGGGACCAAGCGCTGACTTCCCCAGTTTTTCTCACACGACCAGATTCATCAGTCATAAGAAATCACCTACTCAGTGAAAAAGCTAGCATGTGCAAACTGTGTGCTTCCTTCTTCTAGATATTATGAGACATTAAAGAAACACTTTTGGACTAGAGATCTTCCACATGACTAGACTCCAAAGCTAGTCAGTTACAAGCTAATGATAAGTTATGCCGCATGTTAAGATAATACATATTATTATAGTTATATTGTTATTGTTGATCTGTTCTTTCCAGTTGATGCCAATTTAACTTTTAAATTTCAATTATTTGCTGTTCAACACTGTACCTCGCGCTGTCGCCGGGTGATGACAGCTTTGAAGTCTGGCCATGAGTCTAATACTACTTCCTTTTGAAAGGGATTTCCACGATTTATGTTCATCACCGCTCCATAAACCTAAGCCAGAGATAAGACAATCATATTATTATTTTAGTAGTTATCTTCTTCTTACTGTATTATGAAATCATGGCCATAAGAGGGGAAATTTATATTTACACACATGTAAATTCTTTAGTTATCAGTATAAAGATGGCAATGAAAACTGGTAAAAAGTTCATTAATGGATGGTCTTGATATTGCTTGCATGTAGAGGATAGAAGAGGCTGTTAGATCCCTTGAAACTGGAGTTATGGAGAGTTGTTATCTGCCATGTGGGTGCTGGGAACTGAACATGTGACCTCTATAAGAGCAGCCAGTGCTCTCAACTACTGAGCCACCTCTCGGCCCCTCAGCAAAAAATATTTAAGAGTCTCAAAGATAGTCTTGATACTCAATTGTTTTGGAAGTTTACTATACTTTAGAAAAATTAATGTAAACTATAACCAGCCCTTCAACCCTGTATTACGGTTAAATATTATTTGAGGTCAAAACAAACTCAAGATAAAAAGAAAACCTTGAATTTCAGATTTGATGGGCCAATGCTTTATGGGCATCCACAGAGGGTAGTATCTATGACTCATGCATTATTATACCCATAAATCCCAATGTCCTATGTTCTGATAGCTCAGGGAATGAGCGCTTGGTGAATGAAAAATACTAGATAATATTTGAAGCCTGTTTTGTAGCATTCACATTTTTTCTTCCATTAAGAAAAATGTCCTAAAAAGAAGTGTGCTTATAAAGGTTGGGGAAAGTTATGGCGGTGACAAGGATTGTTGAATTGATGCTCATAGCATTTTAATAATAATAATAATTAATAATAATAATATAACAATAATATAAAACCTGGGAAATTACCTAAGAGTCCATCAACAGCAGACTAGATAAGTAAATCCTGGCATATTCATACCACAGATTTCAGAACAGCTATGGAAATGAATAGACCACAGCCACATGCAATCACTAGGGAGCACGCAAAAACGATGGGCAAAAGGAGATAAATAGTTCAATTCATATTACACTTAAAACAGGTGAAACTAAAGTTATGGCTTTGGAAGTCAGGACAGTGGCCACATTAGGGAGCAAGGAGAGGAAGTGATTAGAAAGGAACACGTTGAACTAATGTTCTTTCTCTACCCGAGTTGATCCTGCATAGCTTTTGCTCTGTGAAAATTCACTGAGCTGCATAATTACATTATGTGCACTTTACAGGAAGTGTCAGAGGGCAATAAAAAATTCATAAGGGCATAGAACATTTTATCTCTTTTATCATCATCTGAACCCAAATTACTTAGTCATGCTTCCTCAGTGTAGAACATTACGCAAGTTTTTTTTTCTATTTTATCAAATCTAGGACCTCACCTACATATTCTCATAGAATTTGTTTTTTCAACTGAGTTAGGTTTAGATTACCATGAAATACGGATCAAACAGTACAAACCCAGGAAGGAAAGTAATCTGGAAGGGTAAGGCTCACTCTGTTAATCATTAAATTTGGCCGGCCATCAACCAATACAGAGTGGTGTTCATTCAAATGGTTTCCTAGGAGGCCAACACATGTCCTCATTCAAGAATGTAGCTAAATATGACTGGATTCTTTAGAAGGCAAACATGAAAAAACATTTCATATTCAGATTCTGGAAGAAAATAAAAATCTGGCTTGTATAAGATTTAAATCAATTGAAATATTTGGCATTAATAAAAATCTCTTCCAATAGCTATGTATGCAAAAGGTGAATGTGGTGTGCATCACTGGGGATGGAGAGAGGAAGTAAAGTTGCTGCATAAATAGAGCTTGTAAAAGAAGTCTGGAAGGGCATTTAATCACTTAAGCTCTTAGTTGAAGTTATAAAACACAACCATAAACTCCAAAGAATAAAGGAAAGGTGAACAAAACACTGCTTTCTGTTTAAATTATTTTTTTTAGGATTTATTTTTAATTATGTGTGTCTGTATGTGGGTATGTGTATGTGAGTATAGGTGCCCACAGAAGCCAGAGGCATCTGATTCCCTAGGAGCTGGAGTTAAGGGTGGTTGTGAGCCTCCTGACATAGTTGCTGGGAACTGAATTCCAGTCTTCTGCAAGAGTAATATGTCTCTTAACTGATGAACCATCTCTCCAGACTTTCTTTGCAAATTCTTTAAAATCTTTTATGGTGCTGTGAAGGTAAATGAAACCTTTTAAAATTTTTTTTATTATTTTAATTTTATGTGTACGAGTGTATTGTCTACGTGTATGCAAGTGAACCTGTGCCATGCAATGGCCACCGAGGTCAGAAGAGGGCACTGGATCCCCTGGAACTGGAGTTACAAATGGATGTTAGCTGCCTTGTGGGTGCTGGGAACTGAACCCAGGTCCTCCTTAAGAGCAGTAAGTGCTCTTAACCCACTGAGCCATCTCTCCAGCCCTGATTAATGACATCTTTCACAGTGACAGTTATCTGCAAGCCCTCCTGGATTTCTGATTAGAGGCTCCAGTGACCAAGAGACAATGAACAAACTTCAGTCCGGCTGTTTACTCATGCTCTTAACTTCAATGCCACCCAATCCATAATCGTCTATCACTTAAAACATTCTCTTACTTTGGAAATAATGTAGCCTAGCATTACCTAAATTTCCTCAGGAGTCCTCTAGAGTGATAGCAAAAAATACCTCCCTGGGCCTTATCCAGGGTTCACTGATCCTCCGGGAAGAACAAGCTGGGACACTATCATGTGCTCAGTGTCTCATCAGAAAAGAGAAGGAATAGCCATGCATGTGACATTCTTTTACAGATTAATACAATGAAGACATTTAACACAGTCCTTAAATCTACATTACCTTGAGTGATTCAGGAAAGTGACTCTTCAACATTTTCTCCAGTATCAGTAATTTGGTAGAACACTTTAGCACCAACATCGTCTGGACCTAACTTGAAACTTAAAGATATACATTACATTTTTACTTTTTTTTTTTTTTTTTGGTCTGTTTGAGACAGGGTCTCCCTATAGCCCCAGCTGTCCTGGAACTCACTATGTAGACCAGGCGAGCCTTGATCTCACAGATATCCACCTGCCTCTGCCTCCGGAGTGCTGTGATCAAAGGTGTGCGCCACCACGCCCGGCCCATTTTACCTTTTAACATTTGAACCTACTTAGGAATATGCTTGAAATTATGGGGAATTTTTTTGGGGGGAGTATAATTCTGATTGCTTCTTTTGAAGGAAGAGGAAACTAAGGAGACCCTGGGGTCGCCAAACCAGAGAATATACTGGACTAGAGAGAACTGGACAGATGAGGCTAACTACATTCTTCTACAAATTCAATGTATTTTTAACTTTCCCTCTGGAGAACGGAAGCAGGTATAATTTTGCATTTACTTGTGTTTTATTTTACTTAGTCTACCTCAGATAGCTTGCCAGCAGCCTGAGGGAGGGCCCATTCACACTGCTGTGCAAGATCCTTCAGCTAGATTATCTGCCACAGGGCCTAGCACACAGTAGGAACTTTATAAGTAGTTACTGAATAGACAGTGTGAAGCTCAGGGTAAGAGCTTCAGGTCAAGCAGAGAAAGTTCTTTTTCATCATATGGAGCAAAGACAGGAGAAAATCTGAGTGGTTTGGTTGGTTTTTAAGGAGCGACTCAGAGATGTATGCCTGGAGGGAAGATGCTGATCTAACTAGGTAATTAAGGAGAAAGGGAGGGAATCTAAATACCACATATGTAACCTTGTCTATTCTCAGGCACTTAAATCTTGAATGGGGGATCTACCCTTGCTTTGTTCTCGAGGGAAACGTTCACCTCCATATTCTAATTGTGGCTTGTTTGAATAAGGAAGAAAGAAAAAGGAAGGGAGGGAGGGAAGGGAAGGGAAGGGAAGGGAAGGGAAGGGAAGGGAAGGGAAGGGAAAGGAAGGGAAGGAAGGAAGGAGGGGAGGAAAAGGGAAAGGAAGGAAGTTAGGATTACAATCAATTAGTGAAGGTCATCCACTTAAACTAGAATGTTGATGATGGTGATTATGATGATGATGATGATCTACAGAACTCTAGAGGATCGAGTGTTTCTGGAATTGTAGGGAGCTCTAGATTCCTTCCTTTATGCCATGTCTCCCAGGTAAATTGACTTGACTTTGCCAAGTGGCTTACCTGTATGATCTTAAGATATCCAGAGTGTTTGCTTTAGATTTGCCTAAAACCAATACTAGAATTTTATCCTGAGGTTTATGTGACTGTAGACTTCTAGGAAATAGCTAAACAAGTCCTGTTTGCTGAAATGGTGTACATGAGGTGCCTGTGTTCTTGAAAAGGGCCATGCAGTACCACAAAAGCAGGAGGGTTTTGAACACACAGTCTGGGTAAGTGTGAGACTGAAAAGACATCTGGGTGGGCATCAAGGTGGGCATCAAGACATCAAGGTCATCTTGGGCTATGTAATGATAGCCTTTCTTTCTTTTTTAAAAAAATATTTTATTATTTTACATGTGTGAGTGTATTACCTGCATGTGTGTGAGTGCACCCATGTTGTGAAATGCCCACGGAGTTTCGAAGAGGCCATCAGATGCCCTGGAACTAGAGTTACAGATGGTTGTTAACCACCATGCGGGAGCTGGGAATTGAACCTGAGTCCTCTGCAAGAGCAGCCAGTGCTCTTAACCACTGAGCCCTTTCTCCAGCCCAGTCACATCTTTTCTCAAAAAACAAGGAGCTGGAGAGATAGCTCAGCAGTTGAGTGTGTACTGCTCTTGCAGAGGACCCATGTTCATTTCCCACCCACACTGAGTGGTTCAAAACCTCCTATAATTACAGTGCCAAGGGATCCAATGTTGTCTTCTGGGCTCTGTGGGCAACTGTACTCACATGTACATGCCCTCACACAGAGATGCATACACATAAACAAAAATAAATCTTAAAAAAAAGAAAACAATGACACAACACAAAAAAATCCAACTACAACAAAAAAGAGATGTTTCCAGGTTTTTTTTTTTTTTCTTTGTCTTTTTTGAGACAGGGTCTCCTTGTAACCCCAGCTGTCCTGGAACTCACTATGTAGACCAGACTGGCCTCAAACTCACAAAGATCCGCCTGCCTCTGCCTCCCAAGTGCTGGGATTAAAGGCGTGCACCACCACGCCCGGCATAGTTTCCAGGTTTTAAGAAAAGCAAAATAGGGACTGGAGAGATGGCTCAGTAGTTAAGAGCACTAGCTGCTCTTGCAGGGGGCCTGGGTTCGATTCCCAGCACTCACATGGCAGCTAACAACGGTCTGTAACTCCAGTTCCCAGGGATCTGATGCCCTCTTCTGGTCTCTGGTGGTTTTGCACTACACACGTGCATTTACATACATGCAGGCAAAACACTCATACACAGAAAATTAAGATAAATAAATAACATTTTTAAAAGATACACTATAGAGAGAAGTATAGGTATCATGACTCCGCCATTGTATCTGTTTGGCTTCTCAATGTCTTTAAATAAAATACTAACTGTTTAGATACTAAGGTTCAACACATTCTAATTCAATATTTTCGGTAGAAAGTGAAAATATTTCAAATGGCATTTGATTAGGATGAATCACTTAGTTAGCCTTTTGATGTTTCAAGATCTTATTGTGCCCTAATGCTTAGAAAAGTTATTAAAGCAAGTAGGAATTATAACTATTTATTGATGATTTTCTAACTTATTTGGTTTGTTCCTGACTCCCTGGACCCTGAGAGAAGGAGAAACACAATAACCCAGATTGAATTTTTTTTAGTGGGTCTTTTCCCCCAGCAAGTTGCCATTTCTCTGTCTCTGTCTCTCTTTGTGTATTTTCGGCAGAAGTAACTGCATTTCTCCAGAACTGTACCTGTTAAACCAAAAAGAGTAGAGGAAGTTGGGGCACCCACTCTTACCCTAGTCAATCAACAAGGATCTTGCATTACAGCAAGGGACGCTATTACAGCATCTTCTATGCTCATGCTAAAACTGGGGGTCTTACTGCAATTAGTTTGATGTTCATGGACAGAGACAAAGACCCCAAACCTTGCTGTAGAAGGGCAGCATAGATACTTTTGGACCACTGGAGAAAGGGGGACCACCCTAAGCCCAAGTAGAAACCCTAGTCCCCTTAGACAGGAGTCTCCCTAGCTCTCAGGGGGCCCATCTCTGCCCAGGGAATCTGTATGCTTGCCAATAAACTTTAGTTTTGCCCTTTCCCTGAGCTCTTTTCCATTTTTGAATTCTTTAATTCATAGGCAAAAAGAACACACTTCTTAGTCAGTATAATTCCTAAAGAACATAAAATCATATATGAAAATAGACAAAATATTTAGAAAAATTAAGTTGAAATTAAAATTTGGGCAAAAGGGAAGCAGATGCAGAAGGACTACAGAGAGAAGAGTTGGGTATAGCCTGCAGAGCAGGAATATTGTCCTACAGATGAAACCTTCCTTAGTTCATGGGCGCCACTGGACTCACCTCACTAAAATTCATTTGTAAGCCCCAAATCAATACTGGCAATGCTGTGGTAATCTTTTGTAGATATGCAAAGAACAGTAAAAAAAACTCTTGACACACACACACACACACACACACACACACACACACACTTGCAGTTAAGGTGGAACAGAGCACCCTTGATTTTCTTGTTTCATGTCTCATAAGGTCACTAATGCTTTTATTTACTTTTTAAACTTTTGGTGCTTTTTTTTTTTCAATTTTGATGTTTAAAATGTAATGGCCTGCTTGGACCTAAAACAGATAGCAACACCATCTTTGCAAGGCTCAGAGAACACTGCAGTAGAGGGGGCAGAAAGAATGGATGGGGAGATATGCAGAAAATGAAAAAGTTTCCTGAACATCACATGACTTGCATTCATGAACTCACTGCTGTTGTGGTTACCTGCACAAGAACGGACCATTTCATCAAACATGGGGCCTGGGGCCCACGAGGCCTCCCTGAGGGACTATAGGCAATTAACAGTAGGATAAGTGGGTCTCCTTTACTTCAGTGGTCTAGCTGCTGCTAACTTCCTTGTGTACCATTTAGTTAACCTCCCACCTACGCTTGGGGGAAGAAACTCAAATTCAGTGACCACACATATAAAGAAGAGAAGAAAATAAGAGAGGGGCTTGTCAGGAAGAGTTCCATTGGGAGAGGGATGGAGATGAGGGAGGGGAATGGGAGAAGGGTGGGAACAACTAGAAGTCATGATATAAATATATGAAACTGTCAAACAGTGAAGACATTTATAATTGGTTCCTAGGCATAGGCTTAAATGCTGCTTAGATATTTCCAAGTACAAAAGGCTGTCATATGCCTTCAGGAAAAATACGTGCGGTTAGGTTCTTTTCAAGCATGAATTAGAACGTTATCGACCAGTTGAATGAGAGTCAATCAACCATTTATATCAAATAAACAATGTCTTTTAAACAAAAACAATCCATAAAGCAAGGTTATGTGTTGAGATGAAGCCAGTCTTGCAGGAATGTAACTCCCTATTTCTACTAAGAACGTGCTTCAGCATGGATTAAATCAATGTCCAATGTGACTTCATGGAACAAGTTACCCCATACGATGAGAAATGACTGGAGAGCAGGGGGTGAGGCTCAGATTTCACACTAAGATTCCCAGTGGCTAACACACAGAAACAAACAAGATGAGGGACCTGATTGAGAAGTCTGTAAAATTAACCTGATAGTCTTTTCCCACCAGTTGCCTGCTTTTGCACATATGCCATCTCAAAAGTCCAGTTTCCTGATAGCCAAAACCACCCTGGTCAGGCGTTTGTCTACCATTCTACACTAAGCTGTTGCAACCCCCACACAAATTACTCAGGTGAAAAATTATAATCAGAGAGACATTTTCCCAGGTATTCACACAGAGAGGAGAAATTCAAGAGAGATTTGAAAATATCTGTTTATTTAAAATGATGAATTTCAT